CCTTGGGTTTCATACTTAGGCTTAATTTTGTTTGTTCATAAATGCAGCGGGAACCTTCAGAGAGACAAATTAGCCCTACACATGCTATTTTCTGTATGAAGTCAAAGTATTTCTGAAGTGGAAATTTTCATTAATTTTGAGGTCTTGACTTTCCTCCACAAAAATCCCTTTTGGTTAGTTTCCTTTAACCCTTCTTTGGGGGAAGCAATTATGATAATAAATGTTGGCCGAGGTGGGTGAGGGCACTAAAGAGGTCTGAATAAGAAAACCAAGTTGGAGATAATGATGATGACTTTACAAAGGCACACAGAAAGACAGTGTTTCCTCAAGAATGACTGACTGTACATGGGATACTATTTATCTACTGAATGCAACCACAAGCTTCGAGCATTTATCACTCTTCTGTAGCTCTTTCATATTCTTCCCACATTTACTGTGGCCAGAGGAGAGGTGCGTTCGTGGGAGTACATTTTCAATAAATAATTATATCAATGCATGTGTAGTTCACACTTGACATTGTCACTTCCATACACAGATTCACATTACCATGGCTATGCAGGTCAACCATGTCAACTCATTGCAGGAGAAACTTTGGCATGAGGGTTGCCTTGGACACAGAGCAAAATTGAAATGGTTCCATCTGACTTGGTGCTCTTGACTTGTGAGGCTGAAATCCCAGTGGTAATGTCTCTCATTCTCAGTGGGCTGAGTCCCAGTGGTTGCTGAAGACTCTGCTTTGTAAGGTTGAGACACGTTGTGGTCTAAGGCTTTCTCCTGCCTTCCAGCAAGCTGCTTCGAGGTGTTCCAAGGTTGGTGTAACCAGTTTCCTCCCTACAACTACAAAAGTGTCTTCCCTACCCTGAAGCACAAAGAGACCTCAGACACCCTGGAGTTGGATACTTCACAAGATAGTGATGAGCTCAGGACTTTTTTATGGTCATTACTACAAAATTCTGAATTATAATGTAAACCTAGAGATTATTGTAGAAAAACAAACACTGTTGCCTCAGATGGATCCTTTTAAAACAGCATAGAATCTGTAAACATGATATAGGCTCTGAAGGTATACAGGATCTGAGTTTCCAGAGAGCATTAGCATGCAAATATAGTTGATGTTTGAGGTGGCTGCATGCTCATGATGGACAGAGATGGCCAAGAGCGCAGTAGGTCATGCCATTGATTCCTAATGAGCTCACACATATACAGCCCTTTCGTGGGATCAGTGAAATAAGCATAGAGGGGCCACAAGGCAGCAGTTGTTTCTTTCTTTTTAAAGTAAGTATATAATGTACAAATGATTTGAAGGATGCCACCACAGTTTGTTCAATTGGATGCAAAGTGTTTTTAGTTTGCACAGCTTTGATTTTAAGGACACCTTCTCAGATATTATTGAACAAAATTAACCTACTTTGAACCTTTCCAATTACACTGTCCTGAGACTGTAGCAAACATAAAAAAAACAAAACAAACATATCGGAGCAGCAAAGTTAACATGACTGGATTGCCAGCTGTCTCAGGGATACAAATGAAGCTGTGTTCTCTGCTAATGGAGCCACAATGAGGGAAAATACCTTCCAGGGAAATTTTATGAAATGAGAACATTTCCCAGTAGCAAAGGATGAGCAAGAAATGGAGTGTGTTCAAATGCAAATTTCCTGACGTTTCACAGCTACTAAAATAATTACCTTGGTGAACGAATAATAACTTAGTTAAAGGTTTCATTTAGTATAACCAAATGTAATGCAACAGGCACATACTGTGATAGACACCATTTCTATTTTAGGGCGTGCCAAGGGTGGGTTTTCTCTCTTCCCTTTATTCCACACTTTGGAATGTCACAAGTGATTGGATGAAGTTGTGTATGTGAAATGGAATGATAGGAGAAAACAGTGTCGTGCACATCCGGTACAACTGTGGGCCCACCAAGGATACCAGACAGGAGCTTTGGTATCTCCATGAAGTGACTGTTCTTTGAAATGACTGAACTATCCTGTGTTGCACTAAAAAATTGTATTTAATGCATGTTTTAAAATCAAAACCATTTCCTTCAGAATCTAGAAAGCTTAAAGGAAACATTTTGAAATAATGGCATGTCTTTGAATCCCTTAGTATTCTGTATTGGGTACATGGTAAGCACTCTGGAAATCAAATGGGGGTGAAAATCACCTTGGAGCATATAAAACCTTTTAAGAAATAATTTGGCAATAGGAATCAAATACCATAAAACTGTTTAGATCGCTTGGACCCAGTAATTTTACCTTAGTGAATTTATGCTAAGAATCTTAGATACTGAGACAGGCTCATGCACCAAGATGTTCAGCCACAATATTATTCATAACAACAAAATAATTAGAAACAATTATTTCTCTTTTGTTAAGTATTAACTGAAGAGAACATTATGCTAAGTATAACATGATTCTTGTCGAAACTAAATAGCAATATACAACGTTCCTATGATATACTAGAAGTATAAAAAGACTGGTATAAAATTGTGTGTAATAGAACTGCAATCGTGTAAACATTAAGTAAGCAACATAGAGGAAGGACGAGGAACCATATGAAGGTGCTAGCACGTGCTGTGTTTAGATGGAAGTACTACGGGTAATTTTTCATATCTTTTTGATTTTTCAAATAATCTATAATTTTTAAAAATGTATCGTTATTGTCGAAAGTATTACAGATGTCCCCCTTTTCCTTCCATTGACCCCTTCCTCCCTGTTCCCATGATCTCTAATTTTTAAGCATAACCCAATTGTTATGCTGAATAGCAAGTTGTGTTAAATTGAGCTCTTCTCTCTCCTAAAACCATTTTCTGTGTAAATACACTCATGATGGTCAATTAGTCACAAATGGGAAACCAGTTTGGCTGAAGTAAATAAACTTTAATTAATGTAGACCTCACTAATTGAAGATTAACAGAAATTCACAGATTTGAGATTCTTACAGTGTAAAAAGCCCCAAACAAGTAACACGTTAGGATTTTTTATTTTGCAGCTATAATACTTTATTTCATAGAAATGGGTATATAACAAATTGTAGTATTTTTTTCTTGGTGGGCTTATTTTATTTAACTTTTTATATATAATTATGCAATTTGAAATTGTAAGGGTTGATATATAATATATTAAAATAGAAAAAAATACTTAAATTAATTAACATAATTAATTAAACAAACAAAAAACCAAAGCTGATTTGCCTGGTTAAGTTTGTGAAACAAATTGATTTGCTTAGCATATTATGTTCAGCATACACTGAAATACCACCATTTGCTTAGAATTAAAATATTTTAAAAAATAAATTAAACATTTATATGTAATTGATAATTGAAAGGGAAGGTAAGTAAACCTTTGCTTCCTCCACTATCATTTATGCAGCAAAATGTAAAGGAAATTTTTATATAATATTTTCCATAAATTTTTTTCTTCCTCCAAATGCAACCACTAAAAATTACATATAAAATAACTGGCAGAATCGGTTATTTTGTGACTTATAAATGCAACCAACTATTGTACTTTTTTGTTGTTGTTAATCCTCACTGGAGGATATTTTTTCCCACTGATTTTTTTGTTTGTTTTAATTCTCACCTGAAGATATTTTTTCATTTATCTTCAGATAGAGTGGAAAGGGGAGAGAGAGAGAAAAAGGGAAAGAGAGAAACTGACATCAACTGGCTGCCTCCTGCATGACCCCGACTAGGGCCAGGGACTGAACTGCAACCGAGGTATGTGCCCTTGACTGGAATTGAACCCGCGACTCTTTGGTCCGTGGAACTGAAGCTCTAACCGCTGAGCCAAACAGGCCAGGGCTGGTTTTTTGTTTTGTTTTGGTTTTTTTTAGAGTGACTGGAAGGGAGGGAGGGAGAGAGAGAGAGAGAGAGAGAATCATTGATGTGAGAAAGACACATTGATTGTTTGCCTCCTGCCCAACCCCCACTGGCGCCAGGGATCAAAACTGTCCTTGACCGGAATTGAACCTGTGACCCTTCTTTCCATTGGCTGATGCTCTAACCACTGAGCATCCGACCAGGGCTCTTGTACTTTTCTGTGGACATTTGCAAACCAATGCTTTAGTTAACATGTTAATTGTCTGAAGCTAAGTCATTCTTAAAGAAGAACTGAAAATTGTCCTGGCTGGTTTGGCTGGGCAGTTAGAGCGTCAGCCTGTGGTCCAGAGAGACCTGGGTTCGGTTCCCGCTAAGGAACTGAACTGTACCTCGGTTGCAGTTTGTCCCTGGTCCTGGTTGGGTCATGCAGGTGGCAGCCACTCGATGTGTCCCTTTTGAGTTGATGTTTCTTTCTCTCTCTCTCTTCCACTCTATCTTAACAAAAAGTGGAAAAATGTCCTTGGGTGAGGATTAAAAAAAAAGAACTGAAAATTATTAATTTCAATTGTCTTAAAAAGATCATGTTTTCAAAATCAGACTGATTCTTAAAAAAAAGTGAAGCTTTCTTCTACAATTTTTAAAATATATTCTTTTTCTTAGATATGCCTGTTGTGTGGTTTGCTTTAATTTTTGGTTTATGTGAAGATTTGCTGTAAGAACATTCAGTGCCTAGTTTTTATATGCATAAAACTTCAAAACCTATCAAGTTTCTGAGTTGGTTGTAATCATAAACCCTGAAGATAAAGCACACTTTCTATTTTCTACGGGAAGGTAACTCATGATTTAACTATGAGAAGGTTAGAAATACACTTCTGTTGGGTCATAAATAACAAAATATTAATTTTGTCAATTTTAAAGTATTGGATGCATTCATCTCTCCTATTTTGTTAATATAAATTGCACTTAAGATTATGTAGTAAATATTTAATAATGTAAAAACCATTTCGGACAATCTTTAACCAATCAATCAATCAATATTTATTTAGGGGCTATCACATGCTAGCTCTCTGAGATATACTAGTAACCTTGTTGATTTTGAATATTCACTTCTATATGCAATCTACAAATAGATTTTACAGATAAGCAATTTTAAAACAAACAAAGTTAAACAACTTACCTTTGGTTCCTTGAACTTGGAGAAAAATCCAAAAAACAAAAATAGCCCTTCTGGTTTCCAAATACATCCTGACTTTTGTGCATCAGTAAATCTATCACAATCACGGAACAGCCCCAAATCTCATTTAAAAAGAAATGACAGAAATATGGAAAATAATTAAATATCGATGCAAGCTGAGTGAGGATAACCTTCTTGCTTTACCTTATGAGGGTGCTAATTTATGAAGAACACGAAGCGGTGTCTGTTTCTGGAATAATCCACTTATCTTTTCTGCAGGTGTAATCTCTGCTTAAGGGCCAGCTGGAGGAACCTTATCTCATTAACCTTCTGGAAGAGCATCTGTCCGCCTAGCTCCAGGACCCGAAACGCCATTGTAGACAAGTGTCCACAGACAGAAGGAATGCTTTTTTCCTTCATTATTTACCTGTTACAGTGACACAGAGAGCCAGGGGATGTCCTGCCAGCTGTGGAAGAAGTCTGACAGCTAGGGTCAAATGTTTCCAAAATGACACCCACAAGGAACACCTATTGAGAAAGCTGAATCACCCTGGAAGTGGGTGGTGATTCAACACGCGTTAGTCTCCAGAGACAGCAAGGCTCCTAGAAATGTACTGCTGTATAAACAGCGTTCTTTCTGGCATTACATAGAGATTACGTTTTTGGTGTGTTTTGAGTCTGGTTTAATTTTTTAAAATTTGTTATTCATGCACAAAGTAGAGGAAAATGTTTGTGAAAGATAATGCTGCCATACCTCCATTTAAAGGCAATCACTCTTAATTCTCTAAGTTAATTCTTCTGGAATTTTCTCTCGTACCTGGAAATAGTATGCTTCTACTAGTATTTTTTCATGTTTCACTTTCAGATATTATCAAATAATGAATATTGAGAATACTTTCCCTTCCACACCCTCCCCACTCCTTGTAAACATGTACTTGCCCCATCCCTCCAACCACCTCAGTATCACTGTGTTTTCAGCTTATTGGATATTCAATTTAATATCCTTGTCACTGCATACATGCTACTAATAGCTGAGCCACAGTGTATACCGTAATTTCTAACATGGATTGAGCTCTTATGTTGTGATAGACACTGTTCTTAGATATTTCCATAGATTATATATATTACTCAATAAAACATCATGAGGTAATCCCTATTATTATTATTATCTATGTTTTATATTTGAAGAATCTAAGGTATATGTGGCAGAACCAGGATTTGAACCCAAAGAGACCGGTTTAGGACCCTGATACTGTTAACCATTATCCCCTTTGATGTTTTTGCAGTTGTCTCATTAGTTTCCCCTCATTTTCTGCATGCAAAACAATACATTCTCTCCCAATGTTACTCCAGATGTGTAGATTTTCTCCTCACAAGGTCACCTGTCTTTCCCAGGACGTTCTAACCTTCTCCAGCTGTGTACATTTCTCGTTCTCGTCCACACTAGGCATCCGAAGATCTTTCGCAGTCACCCTGGGGCTCCTTTCACCTCTCTTGTGTTGGATCCCATGTTTGCTGGATCCCATGTGGTCTCCTTTTAAAACTTACTCTTGCTTTAGCAGAGCATGTGCTCCAGTAGGTAACTGAAAGTTCTCAGCAGATAAGTTTGAGATCCTATGTTTGAAAATGGTTTCTATCCATCCTCATCCTTCGATTGATAGTTTGGCCAGTGTTACAGACAGAATGTCTGTGTCCTCCCAAAATTCACACATTGAGAACCAAATGCCACTGTGATGGTATCCAAAGGCGGGGTCTTGAGGATGTGATTGGGTCATGAGGGTTGAGTCCTCGTGAATGGGATTAGTTCCCTCATGTAAGAGGCACCAGGGAGCTCCTCTGTGTCTTCCGTCATGGGAGGCACAGTGACAAGACGGTCTCTATGAAGCAGAAAACTGTCTATCTTCAGAAACTGACCCTGCCTGCACTTTGATCTCAGATTTTGAGCCTCAAGATCTGTAAGAAATAAATTTCTGTTGTTTATAAGCCACTCAGTCTATGGTATTCTGTTAAAGCAGGCTGAGTGAACTAAGACAACTGGATATAGAATTCTAGGTTGGAAATAACGTTCACTTAGAATATTGAAGACATTAATCCACTGTCTTCTAGCTTTTGTGTTGCTGAAGTCTGGAGTCCTTTTTGTTCTTGATTCCTTGTATAGAATCTTTTCTATAGAAAAGTTTCTATAGAAGCTCATTGAAACTTTTCTTTGTCTCCAATGTTCTGATATTTCATGGTGATCTTATTGGTGGTGGGTCCATTTTAATCCATCATGTGGAGCATTTAGAGCACCCTTATATGGGGATTTATGTTCTAAAGTTACTGAAAGCCTCTTTTAGATATTTGATTTTCATCTTTAGTTTTCTATATTCTCTTTTCTGGAATCCATATTATTTGGATGACAGTGTTCTTGAACTGGTTCTTTAACTTTTAATATGTAATTTTTCTTCTGTTATCCTCTAACTCTTACTCTTTAAACTCTGATTTCTAGAAAATTTTCTCAACTTAATATTTTAACCCTTCTTTGTTTTTTTTTTAATATATATTTTTTCTTTATTTATTTCAGAGAGAGAAGAATGGAGAGGGGGAGAGAGATAAAAACATCGATGAGAAAGAACGTCAATTGGCTGCCTCCTGCACGCCCCACACTGGGGATCAGGCCCACAACCTGGCATGTGCCCTGAACAGAAATCGAACCGGTAACCTCTTGGTCCATGAGTCAACACTCAACCAGTGAGCCACACCAGCCAGGCCTTTCTTTGGTTTTTAAATGTCTACCATCATTTATAATTTCTGGGGAATCATTTTTGGTGGTTTATCTTGGAATTTTTCTTTGCTTTTTTATTTTAATAAGATAATGTTTTAGGATTTTAGGGATATAATTTCTTTTATCTCTTTAAAAATACTTAACAGTTTCAAAAATTATTTTCTTCTTAAGTAGCCTATGTTTCATCCAAGCTGTATTTTAAAATTTCTTTTCTGTTTTCTATTTTTTTTATATTAGAAACTTTTCTTAAAATAAGCTCTCGACCAAAATAGACCCAGAGTCATGGAAGTAGGGAACAGACTAACAAACCACAGAGGGATGGGGGGCGAGAAGGGTGGAAAGAGATAAACCAAAAATCTTGTCTGCATATATGCACAGCCAATGGACACAGACACTAGTGTGGGGAAAGCAGGCGGATGGTGGGGGCAGGGGGTCAATGGGGAAAAAGGGGGGACATCTGTAATACTTACAACAGTAAAAAAAAAAAGTCCGGTCAGCGTGGCTCAGTGGTTGAGCATCGATCCCTGCACCAAGCGGTGGTCAGGACTCATGCCCAGGTTGTGGCCTGATCCTCAGTGGAGGGCGTGCAGGAGGCGGCCAATTGATGTTCTCTCTTATCAGTGTTTCTATCTCTCTCCCTCTCCCTTCCTCTCTCTCTAAAATCAATAAAGAAAAAAATTTTTTTTTCCTCAAATGTCTGGTAATCCTTGATTGACCATTCACTTATATTTAAGTGTTAATAACTGACTGAAAGCTCTGTGCGTGAGACTGAAACTTGTCGACTGTGGTCTTCTGTAGGGTGACTGGACTGGGCTGCTTGCTCCTTAGGTCTTCAAGATAAAATACAAGATGCCCGGTTAAATTTAAACTTAAGATAAGCAGCAACTAATTTTTTAATACAAATATGTCACAAATGTTGTATGTGATACCCTAAAAATTATTTGTTTATCTAAGACTCAAATTTAACTGAGTATTCTTTATTTTCATTTTCTATGTCTGGCAACCCTCTTTCTAAAATACCTGAACTCGGTATCTTTAACTATTCCCTCTGCAGGTGGCCAGACATTCCAGACAGGTCTACTAATCTTTTGATATTAGGATAAAGACTGATTCTCAATGTATCCGTATATAAGCAGAGAAAGACATCCAGGGCCTTCATATTCTTACGTCTATTTTAATTTAATGTTCTTATTTTCAGAGAAGTATCCTTACTCTCACATCTGCCAAATATTTAATAGTCCAGGGAATGTTTCACCCTGCCAGAAAATAAGCCTTCAGCCTTCTGTTGAGTGGCCAAGAGGCAGTTACACAAATGAATAGAATTGGGAAGGGGATTTGGAACACTAATTACTAGATATTTCAATTTGTCCTTTTATTTTCAACCCAACCCTTTCATCAATTTACCACCATTTCCAGAAATACCTGGCATGTCTTTATATCTATATCTATATCTATATCTATATCTATATCTATATCTATATCTATATCTGTATCTGTATCTGTATCTGTATCTGTATCTGTATCTGTATCTGTATCTACATCTGTATCTGTATCTGTATCTAGATATATATATATATATATATATATATATATATACACACACACATATATATTGTTGTTTCTGAGCTTTGTCTATTGTCAGTGTAAGATTTGCCTCTCCATTGGCCAGAGAGACCTGGGTTCGGTTCCCGCTAAGGGCATGTACCTCGGTTGCAGTTTGTCCCCGGCCCTGGTTGGTCGTGTGGGTGGCAGCCACTCGATGTGTCCCTTTCACGTCGATGTTTCTCTCTCGCTTGCTCCCACTCTATCGGAACAAAAAATGAAAAAATGTTCTCAGGTGAGGAATAAAACTAAAAAAATTAAAAAAAAAAAAAAGATTTGCTTCTCTAGGTCTGCTACCAGATTTTATTTTATTTTATTTATTTAAGTGATGTACTTATTTTTAACATGTTTTTGTTGATTTTTTTTTTTAGAGAGAGGAAGGGAGAAAGAGAGAGAAACATCCATGTGAGAGAGAAACATTGATCAGCTGCCTCCTGCATGCCCCACACTGGGGACCAAACTCACAACTCAGGCATGTGCCCTGACTGGAATTGAACCAGGACCTCCCAGTCCATGGGACGCTGCTCAATCCACTGAACCACACTGGCTGGGCTCAATCCATATTTTAAAACTTTGCTTAAACCTACATGTCCAATTAATAAAATTATTATTAAGTGAAAACTAGTACTATATAGGTAAAAACAGAGAATATTAACAGCACCCCACCATGATCCCACTCACACATACAAATCTTTCTTCTCTATTATATGTAATTATTTTTCAGATGTCTATGATAATCATTTATTTGCTTTTCTTAATTCTTTTACTACTTAACTACACCTCTGTAAGCACTGTAGTTTACTTTTGCCCATCCTACCACTCTTTATTATAAAGGTTATCATTTTCCCTACTGGTCCAAAGTTCCGTCTTTATCATAAAATCTGTGTAT